TTTTTTTTTTGCAAAATTCTGGTAGATGTGGATCTGCTTGACACAGAGAAGGTAAAAAGAGGCGGTTTTCATGCAAAATGACGAAAAAAATCGGGGGGGGTCCTCCGGGACTCGAACCCGGGCCACCTGCAAATTCATCGGTTTTTAAATCCCGAAGCAGAGATGATACCCCTTCACCAAGGACCCTATAGCAGATATGCACCTAAGGTTAGATATGAAGCCGGACCCGCTGCCCATCATCTCCGGAAGCGCAACGCTGCGACAAGGCTTGCCAAATTGCGTGGCGCCCTGTGCTTGCAGTCGACGGGCGCCTGAGACAAGCGAGAGAAGCGCGTCCCGCCTTGCGGCGAGGACATGACCGTACTAGCGAAGCCATTTCATACGAAAAACTTGTTTGGTCATCGACAATCGTGAATCGCGAATCATGGTTGTTCAAGTGGCGAATCTTGAACGACAAGCCTCCAGCCTGGCCTCTTTCGCGACGCGCAAAGCTTTCATGCTCAACTTGCCCCTGTGGCCGGCCATCCGTCGATCAATGACGAATGTCACCGTCAGCTAGGCTTCGCGCGCAGCTCCGAGGTTCGGCATGCTACGACTAATATAGCTGGGATTGATGGCGTAGGTACCTTTGCTGCATAAAATCGTAACTAGATCCCGAATCGCGCATGTGTGCGATGGACGTGTGATTGATTGATGCACGCCCTCCTCGCGATTCCGACGTTCCGATCGTGCATCGTGCACCCCCGATGAAATCAAGGTTGCGAACTTGCGAGCGCTCGATTCGTGCTGTGGGCCTGCCGCTGGAGTCGAGGCATCAGGCTTACAAGTCATGCATGCTGTTTGTGTACAAATCAGGCCCGGCCAGCTTTCAAGCTCTTGCTGCCACTCTTGACTCTTGAATAGCAACGAACGGACCCAAGGGGATCGAGCATAATCATGCGAGCTGATTGATCAATTTCGCCGCGTCGGCAGACCAAGTGACCGACCGTAAGGCACACTCACTCACTTAATTATCGAACGCGCGTCCACAGCATAACCTCCGAACTAGCATAAGCGGAGTCGGCGAAGTATCCGACATTCGTGATTCGGATTGTGATTGAACAGGTCTCCGACTGCGCTGCGACTTTCGAGCGAACCCCACGCTTGTCGATCTAGTCACGAACGGCACCAGGGAAACATGAGATGGAGGCTGACGCCGCGCTCCGCAAGCGCATGGCGGATCGGCGGTTCCGCCGGTCTGGCCCTACGGCTAGAGTCGTGGATGCCGCATACATGGAGGTGCTTGCCACAACGTCAATCGCGAATGGTCATGCGGCATAGTCGTGAGTCACGAGTGCCGCGATTGACACGCTCGCACGTCTGCCCTCTCGCCAGGGACAATGGCAAAAGGTATAAAGTGTGCTCATCCTGCCTTCCACAACCCAGACTCCCTTCATCAGTCTCAAGTTGCTCGTCTCTCCAGCCATCTTGTCTCCTCGCGAACGATTACCATCGCCTTCACGCTTGCCTTGCAATACCCAGTCTTTCAGGCCTATCTAGCACTGCTCATAATCGATCCCCATCGAGATGTTCTCCAACAAGATTGCTCTCACTTCCGCCGTTCTGGCCGTTGCATCGATCGCATCTGCCGCGCCCCTGGACAGTCGAGCACCTCCTGCGGGATGCTCGGAAGCCGCACGCTTCGGCACCTTTTCAGTGCAGCCCGCCTCTGCTAAGATTGGCGACGTGAGTGCCGCAGGTGGAGACATGATGACATCGATCATGGACTTACACAGGTGCGGCTTCATCTTCGCATTTGCAGGAGCTTACCGTCACCTACACTCAAAGGTGCGCGGACTACGCCAACATCCACCCGACATCACTCAGTTTGACTCTCGGAGCGAACCAAATCCCTTTCGCCGTAATCGAGGAAAACAAAGCGTACCCAGGTGATGGCAAGACCTTGACCTTCACCACGACTGTCCCAGACACCTATGCGCCTGCGCACGTCGACCCTTCCAAGCTGAACCTTTGGGGAACAATCAAGTTTAACCAACCGGGCCCCAAGGGCAAGGAGGCCACACACCTCTACAACTTCAGCCAAAACTTTGCTCTGACCCAGTAAGGTGATAGCCAGACCACTCATCTGTCTTGCTTCAATTGCCATCGGACACTTTCCTCATCATCCTCTCGCTACATCCATCTTGTAACATTTGACCAGCACGCACCAATCCGTATTCTCGTTGCATTTGCCTGTTTTACCAATCGTTCAGACTGCGGGCAATTGATGCAGGTTCGCCAGTGCTCTCAAGGCGGGTGAAACGCGTCGCATCTGGAATGGCGATCGTCTTGATCTTAGATGACCCATGTCCTGCTCCTGCGCAATACACCATCGCAAAGCTTCCTTCAGAGACGGCTTCGAAGGCAGCGCGAGCGATCCATCGCCGCCCTCACCGCCCTCGCTTCACCGCTGGGTGCCTCACCATTTGTAAGCGAAGAGAGCACTTCAGCACCTGTAGCGATTTTGGCTCAGGAGTGCCAAGCCTGACTATGACCTATGCCTAGGCAGTTCGATAACATGTCATTTGGTCGCGAAAGCCGTCGACATCGCAAAGACGCTTGCGATTGTGATGACGTCGTCATCACACAGCCCGGAAGACCCGCACTCCGCTCTAGCTGAAGATGCTGAGCACATTGCACATGCGGCCAGTTCTTGACCATTTTCCTGCCTTCATTCCTCATCGGCGAATCCCCTGGGATCGAGGAGGTCCTGCACCACGTCCGCGGCGTTGTTGTGCTGGCGACAGGATCAGGAGTGTGTGAGTACCGAGTGATGAGCACGTAAAGAGTATGGCGATAGCCACTTACCTCTGAGTAGCACGGCACGGCCACGAGCTGCGCCGACACCCTTGCCACGCATCGCGTTTGGACCCATACCGCGCGCTAAGAAGGGCTGTGAAGCAGTGCAGAAGAAGTCAGCACCTTGACTGAGTAATCCTCGTATCGCCCAAGCACGGACTCACTGCTGCTCTAAGGAGGTCGGGAACGACGACGAATCTGCACAAATTGTAGAGTGCGTGTGCTTTAGCTTTGGAAATCACGAGAAAACGTGCTGTGTGGAACAGCGTGCAAGACCTTCCCTCTTTCCCAGAAAGCAAATGTGAAGACACCGCAATCGCCTTGCTGGGCTACGAGCGATACAAAGAAGCGCGAGCTGGGGTTTGAGGACGCCCGCAAAAGCGTGCGCTGATCGATCTTGACGCCCTCCAGCGCCACGGGTGGATGTATGCAGACCTGCTCCCTCTAAGGGGTACATCGCCCCTGCCTCCCTGCATCGCCACCGCTTCGAGCGATGTAGCCAAGACTCACCTGATAAGAGAGCCTCTCAAGTAGCATGTTTGCAGCTTGCTCTGCTTTCCATCCCTAGCAGTGGCAGTCACTTCCGCCATGCAAATGTTCATCGAATCCTCTGCATCCACCAGCTTGCCTCTGTAAGTCGTGCCTCCTTTAACTTCGACGGTGACAATGTGGCCCACTGCTTCGAGCAAGCACTTGATAGTAATGTGCGAACTTGCCGACATGTCGGCGAGCTAGTGCAGACGGAGCGCGACACTTGCAGGTACTCGCGCTGATTCCCGGACGGCTGTGTTACGGTAGGTCGCACGGGAACGCCAGAGAGGTGAAGAGATAACTGCCAGTAGCGATATGCAAATGTCAGAGCAAGCAAAGCTCTCAATGCGAGTCTGTGCTGTTTGAGAAAGTGTGAGGTACGCAGCGATTCGAGCCAGTGGAAGGGATTGCGGTAAACAACTCAGAATCGGTGAATTGTGCCATCAACAATAGGTCAATCCCTGGATCTCAAGAAGTCAAAGTCAGAAGAGTGCTGCACAACTGCGACGTGCAGTCAGTCAGTCGCGTGATCAAATTGCGGGATCACCGACTGAGAAGCACGTTACGCGTCCCACGGAGGACTGCCACTCGCGAACATTCTGTGCTGACTGCGTTTGCTCGGTCGACCAAGCCAAGACCCATTTTCTTGGCGCCAAGTCTTGCGCTGCGAACGCGACGCGGACAGTGACCGCACAAAGACACCGACGAGGGAGTCATTGCAAGTTGTCCTGCTGCATCCACCCCTGCAAATACGGCTCAATCGAGGGTTGAGACATTCGTGTCAAGACGGTACTGAAGCCCAGTCATCCTACTCTGGTGATCCGCCTGCTCAGACGTCAACGGCACTGCATTACGCCCGGACGCTAAGCGTGCACCTGGAAGCAATCGATTGGGCAGTATGACTGCGTACAAGCGTAACATTTAGACCCAAGCAAGGACGCCGCTGTATGCCTTTTGCTGTTATGCTAGACTGGAACGCTCGGAGTCGCTTGAGAGATCCTGGTTTGTCGATGTAAAATTCGATGCGTCGAATGAGACTGCCAGTACAGTGGTCCTGTCGCTTGCTGGTTGGCGGTCGTCATGGTGCGGAGAACCGCCTTCACGGCGAAATTCCCGCCTGCGGATGCTGGTGATCCCGCGGTACCCATGCAGCGAGCCGAATAGCAGTGAGGAAGGGGCTACACCTCCGATTGTCGGGAAGATTGCCAAGATGGGCGTCGGAAAGTCTTCGGCGCCAAGGCCGAGCTAGAAGGATGCATATCGGGAGCAATGAGCCCTTCATGTGGACGCTGTGGAGCCCCGCTCCATCGAGCTTTCAGGCGATGAGCGCTCTGTATGGAGCTTGCAAGAGACAGTGTAGGTCCACCAGCAGGTGCTGATGCTGACAAGTCTATGAGCGGTACCTGCGTCATGTTGAATCGGTGCAGCAAGTGCGGGGATGCGGGGACGCAAATCCTAGGTCTTGTGCGTCCCTTCGAAGAAAATGGTGCCTGTACGGGTATCCTCGCCCCAGATCGAGTGCCTTGTTGTGTGCGTCGAGGGGGTACTGCCCGAGAATCTCGCGAGCATATATAAGCGCAGACCAGAACATGCGCTTTGCTGCGCTCTCTGGAGCAAAAATCGTAGTATCACCAAAGTTCCTTGCTAGAAACCACCGTCAAGATGCCTGCAAACAACATGCGCAGGCCATCCACGCCTGATCGAGAAGCCAAAAAAGAAGCAGAGACTGAAAGCGGCGTGCACGTCGCGACTAATGACCGTGACGACGCCGAGGTTAGTGACAAGGACAGCTCTCTGAACGAAAAGGACAACGAAAAGCAAGGCGACCGCAAGCTTTCGGAACAAGATCCCAATGCCCTTCTGGCCAACCCGCTCAAAGCCTTCAGCCGAGTAGAGGTGGCAGAGAGAGCCAGAGCTTGGGCTGACGAAGCTGGCCTGGGCGAGGACAGAGAGCTATTTGCCCGCGCTGCACTCGTGGCGCAGAATCCCACTCGATGGGACGAGATGCCCGAATTGTCGCAAGAGGAGAAGGATGCCCTGACCTTTGAGCGAGACCATCCTTATCGGCAACCAAAGGCGCTCTGGCTCTTGGTACTGACGGTCTCGCTTTCTGCAGCGGTGCAAGGCATGGACCAAAGCGCCATCAATGGAAGGTGGGTGCGCAGCACGGTAGCTGCTCGGTTGGAATTCTTCGTTGATCCCCACGTGCCATTTCCCATCTCAGCTTGCTTTTCTTCCCGGAGCAGTTCGGAATCGCCGACAGATACGATGGGTGGCTGACGGGCATCATCTCAGCTGCGCCTTACTTCTCCTGCGCCGTCTTCTCATTCCTTAGCTCGCCATTGAACTACTACTTTGGGAGAAGGGGGACCATTGCCATCACGTGTGTGATTGCCATGGTCACCTGCATCTGGGCGGCAGTCGTGCCCAGTTGGGAGTTGCTCTTGGCTTCAAGGGTTGTCCTTGGTCTGGGAATCTCTCCCAAAAGTGCCACAACGCCCCTATATGCAGGTGCGTCTGACTCGCTGGATCGAACATGCTAGCGCCCGGGAATGCGGAGCTGACAAAATCTCCCGACCTGCAGGCGAATGTGCACCAGCAAAGATCCGTGGACTCTTGGGCATGCAGTGGCAGACCTGGACGGCTTTCGGCATCGCACTTGGACAAGCAGCTTCCCTGGCATTTTACGGAGTGCCGGACAGCAGAGGCATCGAGGGTCTCAACTGGAGGTTGATGCTTGGTGCTCCGGCTGTGCCACCCCTTGCCGTCTTGGCGCTCGTTTATCTATCGCCCGAATCGCCCCGTTGGTATCTGGGCAAAGGACGAAAAGCTGAAGCCTTCCGCTCGATGAGGCGTCTGCGAAACACACCGTTGGAAGCCGCACGAGACATCTACTATGCCAACGAATTGCTCGAAGCTGAGAAGCACCTTGGCGCCAACAAGCAGCGCAACGCCTTGCTCGAGCTCGCATCTGTTCCGCGCAACCGAAGAGCTGTAGAAGGGTAAGTCCATCCGTGATCGCGCACACTACTCTGCACGCGTCGCTGACCTGACTATTATCACGTTTCAGAGCTTCGTTCGTGATGTTCATGCAGGTGGGTAGAGCGCGCATGCGTACGTGTGGTTGACAGAGCACGGACTCACCGATTGACTCCTATGCGAAACTGGCAGCAATTTTGCGGTAAGCGTGGTGTAGGATGAGCCAACGGTGCCTTGCAAATGTGCGGCTGACCAATAGCTGGCACTACACGCTTGCAGGCATTAATGTGATTTCGTACTTCTCATCGCAAATTTTCGTAGATGCAGGTAAGTGGCAGGAACTGGTCGAGAAATTGGTGAGAGCTGAGAGCTGATCATCCTTTTCCGTTTGCCCTCCCTTTCAGGCGCCACTCCTCGCAACGCGCTTGTTGCAAGCTTTGGCTGGGGAGTGCTCAATTGGCTCGCTGCGGCTCCTGCATTCATCTCGATCGACAAATTTGGCCGTCGAACGCTGCTATTGATCGGGTATCCATGCATGATGGTCTGCCTCTTGATCTCTGCCTTCTCATTTCTCGCTCCTCAAGGCTCCCCCGGCCGTATCGGAGGCGTTGCCGTCGGCATCTACCTTCATTGCTTAGCCTACAGTCCTACTGCCGGTCCTGTCCCATTTACGTACTCTGCCGAGAGCTTCCCTTTGTATGTTCGAGAGAGCGGAATGGCTTGGGCAGGTGAGACAGGTGCTCCGATACGTCTTGCCCCGCTCGGACTGCTACTGATCGCTGTAGCGGGCATACGTCTACCCCATTTTACAGTCTCTGTTTGTTGGTTTTTCAACGGAGTTCTTTCCCTCACGTGGCCGTCGATGCAACGCAATTTAGGCTCGACGGGAGCGTTTGCATTCTATGCAGGCTGCAATGGCGTCGCATTCGTCGTCGCCTACTTCTTCCTCAAAGAGACCAAAGGACTCACGCTCGAGGAGCTGGACTCAGTCTTTGGCGTCAGCAACCACGATCACGCGATTTACCAAGCAGGAAAAGCATCGTACTATGCGAGCCGTCTGACGGGCAAGCGAGCATCCAAACCAGAACCTCTCTACGCCCACGAGAAGCTGAGCGCGGAAGAGCGCGCGGCGCGTGGGACATTGGCACCGGTCGCAATGGGCCACTAGCTTCGCGAAGATACGGAGGCCGGCTGTGAAGATCTGTCGGCCGCAGGCTCGTGCTCAGTCTACGCTTGACATGCACATGGCATGTTCCCACTTCTTCATGACGACGTTATGCCATCCGACGCTCCGCTTTAATGAATGCGTTCAAGAATATTTCACCTCATTGCTTTCTCTGTGAATTTGCACTCTTTGCACGATCACGATATTTGGCAATCCCAATCTTACTGTAATGACCAGACGCCCGAGTCATCCCGGTGCAGCTCTACAGGTCTGCGCTCGTCCAAGCTTCGCCTTCCAGCGTCCAGGATAGCCGTAGTCAGCACCGTGTCATGGATAGTAGGCATCTGTCGGCAAGGTCAAGAACAAAGGATAAGCTAGATCTGTTCGTGCCGAGCCTGCTCACTTTCCATCAACCGACAATGTGATCGTACTCCGAAGCTCTGCGGCCCTCATTGATGCTGGTGCAAGCGCGACAAAAGTCCGCTATGCTTCGATATCCGTAGCCATTCTGACCATCGAAGTGGCCCTCGGCATCTGGGCTGTACTTCATGTAGAAAGGATTGACGTATTGCGTGCCCGTCCCGGCGTCTTCGGGGAGTACGCTGTAGCCACGATGAGCTTGATCGACTCTGATCTCTCCTCGCTGACCAATATAGTCTGGGAGCCAAAGACGTGTGAGCAGCTTTTCGGCGAGCAGAAAACGCGCGAGAGTAAGACGCACGGAAATTCTGCTCCGAATGCACACCTGCTCCTTTTGGCGCTGCCCAACTCGCTGTGAAAACTGCAGTCCCTCTACTATCAGCTCTAAGTCCATCTCGAGCATCGAGATTCCCAAAGTCGACAAGCAGCTGTCCGAACGAGGCGCGTCAGGCGGATTATCAAGAGCGTGGCATAGGATGCATGCTTCTATTGATTGAGAATGCTCACTGTGATGGTGTCCTCGGTGCCATCCGCACAACCAGCATCGGTGGCTACACCACGTGAGGCGCTCGCTGTGACACGGACAGGTAACGCGCGAGCTTTGGTGAACCACAAAAGAATGTCGACGTGGTGGGAGTTGAGATAGTATCTGTGGGCATCATGATTGGGGGGGATTTATGCAGAGCTCGATTTCAATCAAGGAGAAGCGACTCACGATATGTCGCTGTCCACACCGGCCCAAGACTGAGAGCGAAAGAGTCAAGATCGGCGCACGCGTCAATCATGCTGGGCGGACTCACCTCGAAGGTCTTTAACTGAGTCTGCAATCGAGAAGCGACGTCAACGAGCTGCGCAACTGCTCACGGGGGAGCTGTGATGCGACGCACCTTTGGCTGGGACATGTAGGCTGAGAAGAATTGTAAATCTCCCAGTCCGCTGCATTTGTCCTTGGCGTCTGCGTATACGGGATCCCATCTGTGTGGATGTCGCACATGTGTGAGCGGATGGAAGCTTTGTAGCACGGGCAATTTCCTCGCACCTCTTGTGATGCTCGACCATGCACAGCACTCCCTGAGGGAGAGCAAACAAACTTCTCCATCAGCACATGGCATTCTTGTTCGACCCAGAATCTCCACTAGCCGCTTACATGCTCTTTTGCGAGCGATGCTAGCTCCTGGTGATGCTCTAACCGCTGCGTGGCTGGCTTTGTGACGAGCACGTGAAGCTTCTTGGCGGTGATCGCGTATTTGGCGATATCGAAATGTGTACTGTCGGGTGTAAAGATGGTGATGGCGTCACCCGGTGATAGTGCGTCGATGGCAGATTTGTCTGCGAGTCGAGCAGAGTGTCAATGAGATGCAGCTTCGGTTGCTTCGAGGGATGCAAAATGTCGAGCTGCAGCACTGACAAGCTTCTGCATCCTTGTGTCCAGCTGGGGGAAAGGCGTTGTAAGACACGTCCATGTCGCGATATCTGCAACATGATTGGGCACCGTGATATCAGCGGACTCGTGGCTGCTCGCTTTGCTCATGGCGCGACGAGCAACTCACTTGCCAGCGATGTTCTGCTCAAAATGTTGCTTAATCTGCGCATGTTTGTCTCCATTGGTGCCTACCATGCTCAGATCGCCTAGCGGGGTAAAAGGGGCGCCGTGCATTCAGCGATCACTTGGGCAAGCAAGCATACACGCGTACTGACCCACCAGATTTCTTCTTCTGAGGTCGAAGAGGACCAATGCGACTACGCCGATCTCTGCGTCACACACCAGTGCCATGGATTACGAGCCACGTCCATCCTCTCATCAGCATTGCCTCTAGACATCCGCTTCGTCTCTCCTCGGTGCCAGCTCACTCTTGTCGCTCGTGCTTTGCGCCCCGCCCACAAAGCCCGTCGTGTACTCTCCCGTCCCCACCATCAACACATTTGGCTGCTCCTTCTCATTCGGCATGGCTAGTCAGCTCTTTCCCAGATGTGATGGTAGTCATCAACCAGCAGGCCTGATTCGGCTTGCGCCACTACAGTCAGAGTCTGAGAGTATATGCACACAAATCTGAACTTGAATCACTGAATGTGAATGCAGTGTTGCGTGGTGCGTCGCTTGGTTTGGAGAGCACGTTCTGATTGAAAGCGCACATACTCATCCATCTCAGGTCCGCGGAGATCCGTAGCATCGCTTCATTGCTGGGCTGGAGCATGTCACCACACATCATATATGGCTCTGCTGATGTATGCACGCGGGGCGCCGTCGCTGCATGCTCGCGTGCGATCGCGACTCGCAAGACGCGAGCCCGCGGACGACACACAGAGGCGCCGACAATTAACATGCATGCACCACGGCTAGCATCCTACGATTCGACTGGTGACTGACTGTCTGTACAGGTAGAACTGTTGTGACTACATAGCGGGCGCGCACCCACCCGCGCCCCCGACTTGTGCCCGTACCGACCTGCTGGGCAGCTAGCTAGCACTTTCACATTCTGATTAGCACCAGCGTGCCTGCGATTCGCATGTATGGTGTCTGACGAAGTTTGCGTCGTACCTCGTCTTTCGCATCGCCTTACCGTCACGATCAATAGAGGCTCAAGTGAAGCACGACGCACGACGCCAACACAAATAAGAATCACCGATGTCGCGGTTGAATCGGCATCGATCGCGGGCCTCGATGCGATCCGAGGTCGCACCCGTAGATGCAGCCGTGCTCGAATCTCTCAAGCGTCGACGAATCGCATCCCTCGTTGGATCCTTCATTGTGGCTTGTTCAGCTGGGGTCAATTACGCGTTCAGCTCGTTTGCGCCCCAGCTTCAGGAGCAGCTGCAGCTGACCAGCACGCAGATCAATGTGGTGGGCGTGGCTGGAAACATGGGCGTCTACCTGTCCGGTCCCTTCTGGGGCCGATGGGTGGACAAGCAAGGTCCAAAGGTGTAAGTGTATGCGGAGAGGAAAGGTGCGAATGCGATGCGCTGATGCGGACAATCCATCACTCAACATGCAGCGCACTGCTGGTCGGCAGTGCCCTCGTCCTCGCGGGATTTGGAGGGCTATCCCTCTCCTACACGCACACTGCGCCCTTCCATGACGCCTCGCCCTCGACGCTGGCCGTGCTAAGTCTGTTGACTGGCTTGGGGAATGCTGGTGCATTCACAGCGGCAATGAATGCGCAAGCCAAGAGCTGGGATGGTACCCGACGCGGCTCAGCTACAGCCCTCGTCCTTTCCGGCTTTGGCTTGTCAGCATTCCTGTACTCCACCCTTTCCCACCAACTCTTTCCTGGGAACACCTCCGACTACCTCTTGCTGCTAGCATTTGGATGCGCTGCTTCTTTCTTGGTTGGCGTGCTGCTCATTCGTATCTTGCCGCCCGCAGACGCGAATCCGCTACTGACGCGGCGGGGCAGTGATGGTCGTGGTGCATGGACGCAGGCACCAGCTGGAGACGACGAGGAGATCGGGCGGCTAGAGCAGAATGCAGACGTAGATGAGGACGAGGATGAGGAGCGGGGTCGATTGAGACCTCATCTAAGTGGTAGAAGGCGCACCAGCAGTGAAGTCTCTGCGAGAGCCTTCCTCAACGCCCCACCTACCGACGAAGATACAACTAGTGCAGATGAGGAAGATATGAATACCCGCGCAACGTCGCCTGCTACGACTCCTTCGAATGCAGGTGCGGGTGCGACACCTGAGGGGAACAAGGGCGATTCTAGCAGTGTCGACGTCACAAACTTCACCCTGTTGAAGCAAGCAGACTTTTTGCTCCTCTTTCTTATCATGTCGCTTGTTAGCGGAACTGGATTGCTGGTCATCAATGTGAGTGGCGTGAGCTTTCTCCGCAAGCTGATGGGATCGCTGAATCGGCATCCTTGCATAGAACATCGGCACTATCACACGGACACTGTTTGAATACAACAAGGGTCGCAAAGACGTGCCTGAAATAGCCCTTGACGCCCAAAATTTACCTCGCGAACTGATAGACATCCTCACGAAGGACGAAAAGGCAATCGTTCAACAAGCGCAGGCACACCAGGTCAGCGCCATCTCACTTGGAAACGCTAGCGGCCGCATTATCATGGGTGAGCTGCAGCGATGTTTCGGCTATGTGGGCCAGTGCTGAGAGCTCTTATCGTTCGCCCACTAGGTTTACTTTCGGATCTATTTGTCAGCTCCACAGGCGATGCGAGGATGCGAGTCTGGTTGCTCATCTTGGTGTGCATACTCGCTGTAGGCAGTCAAGCGCTCGCAGCTGCTCCAAACACGATCACGACAGTGCACAGGTTGATCATCATCTCGCTCGGCACTGGATGGATGTACGGCGCGCTGTTCGGTCTGGCGCCCGTCTTGACATTTGAATGGTTCGGCTTAAAGCATTTTTCACAGAACTGGGGCTACGTCAGCCTGTCGCCCGTCATTGCAGGAAACATCTTCAACCTCCTCTTTGGCAAAGTCTACGATAGCCATGTGCCCAAGGGAAGCGGCAGTGTGCACCAGTGCCCGCTAGGTGAAGAGTGCTACAGATCGGTCTTTGAGATCACCGAGGTCTGCGCTCTTGCAGCTGCGGCTGCTAGCTTCCTCCTGATCGTTCGTCGTACAAGGGACGTTCAGCATGTTAGAAACCCCTTCGTGGGCTTGTACGGACGTCTGAGCAACGCGGTGCGGTAGCGCTTCGCGTAAAGTAATAGCAATTCAGATTGCCTTGCTCAATCGCTTGGCCAACTTGTTCGAATCTGGACGACCTGTCTGTGTGTGAACATTACATCGGCTTCATCGAATGAGAGAATACTGATTGACCATCTACCGTCAAGTCCGAGTGTAAGGTTGCCGCCTGCTGGGAGCTGTGCCACGTGGCGAGAGTTCCACGTAATGTGGTGGCGAACGCAAGCTCGCACTGAGCTACGCGGGTGCCACCACGGCGTGCAGCAGGAGCTAGCATGCGGACCGTTGACGCGCTTGCATGCTAGTGGTGTGCGTGTCATGCGCACGAAGGTGGTGTAGCATGGCAAGTTGCGCACAAGCCTTTTGGCGGGCGATTGCATGCACGAAATGACGCGAGGGGGCGGCATGAGTGACGGTGTGCATACCGGGTACATACAAATCCGCCTCGGACAGTTCAAGTTCGAACTTTTGAAATTGCTGTGCATTTGTGTTTGAAAGGCAGTCTGCAGGCAGGGCGTACATGGATCGGGTTGCTTCCATGAGACGACAACGACGTACATCGACAAGTTTCCATTTACCTCGACTGGCAACTCCAAACTCAAGACTCAAGGCTGCTGCTAGCTGCTCACCATCACACCATAGTCACTTTGGCTGCTTGATCATCGGACTGCACAAGCTGCTAGATTCTGCCCTGCCGCCTCAAGACAAAGCTGTGTCTCACACTCAAAACAGCTGGCGACCATGTTCATTATCAACTGGTTCTGGGTAAGTGCGCTCGAAGGTTCAAAAGTCGAGCGCACCGGTCTGCTCGTTCGGCCTCGGTATTGGTTCATGTCAGAATTACTGACCGGCCTGTTCTCGTACATTTTGCTCGCCTACAGGACGTACTTGCCCAGCTAGGTCTGGCTCACAAGAATGCCAAGATCTTATTTTTGGGTCTGGACAATGCAGGAAAGACGACGCTGTTGCACATGCTGAAAAATGACCGTCTCGCCACGCTCCAACCTACTTTGCATCCAAGTGCGTATCTGCCCGTACATCGAGGCCACTAGATTTTCCTCACAAGCAATTTCCTTCGCGTCTCGCAGCCTCCGAAGAGCTTGCCATCGGAGCTGTCAAATTCACCACCTACGATCTGGGAGGTCACACTCAAGGTGAGCTGACTCGGAGCACTAGCACGTAGCGAGCATCTGCTCACATTCCTGGCACTCGCAGCGAGGCGTCTTTGGAGAGACTACTTTCCCGAAGTAGATGGAATCGTCTTTCTGGTCGACTCTCAGGATCACGAGCGATTTGGAGAGGCGCGCGCTGAGCTGGATCAACTTTTGAGCATCGAGGAGCTCAACAGGGTTCCTTTCCTCATTTTCGGAAACAAGATCGATGCCGACGGCGCTGTTTCCGAGGAGGAGTTGAGAGCTGCTGTTGGTCTGTACCAAACGACTGGCAAGGTGAGTATCATGGAGTCTGTCACACTGCGTCATGCTAGGAAGTGGGGTGCAGGTCAAAGCTCGAGTGCAAAGTGGTCTTCAAGTGGTGTAGCGCGCATTCCGACATGCCAAGCGCCAGGTTTCGTCTTATTTTCCGAACTCGCTCGGGTTGACTGACAAGCGCTGACTCTGCCCGATCTACCATTCAACCTGTTGCGCAAATCAGGGCAAGGTCCCTCTCAAGGGTGAGTCCGGTTCAGCTGCTTTCATGCATACATACCTTGCTGACACCAAATCGCTGCCTTGTCGCAGACATTCGACCTATTGAGATGTTCATGTGCTCAGTCGTCATGCGCCAGGGCTACGGAGAGGGCTTCCGTTGGCTCTCGCAGTACATCTAACGCGCCCATTACGAGCGAACAGACAGAGCGATAGTTTTGCGCGAGCACTGATCTCAAAGAAGAAAATGACTCTACAACACACGGAGCGATTTCGCAACGGCTGTACATCATTTCCGCTGCCGTGTGGCCGGGTCAATCGATAAGTTGCTCTCGATGTCTGGAAAACAGCTGCGCAAGGTAGATGTGGCAAGGGGCACGGAAGTCTTGAAACGGTGCGCACATGACAGGGAGAGAAGGGAAAGGTATGCAGTACGCGGTGGGCAACAGGAAAGCAAAGAAAGCGCAATAACGGGCGAGAATTATGGGCTAAAGGGCGGCGCTGCGTGGCAGCTAGGGAGCTGTTGATTTAGAGTACACCACCCAGTTTAGGTAGGACAGGGCTGAGGAGGCCGTCCTCGGCAGGGATGGCGGCAGTGTAGTAGCTTGCCGCTACCAGCTCCGCACCGGTGCGTTGGATAAAGTCGCGCACATCGAAGCTAACCAACTTGAGCAGATACTCGAGCTGCGAGGGATTGTAACCTGAAGCAGGCTCGCGGAATACGCTGATGGTGTATCTGTGACCGGCTGGGTTGCTTAGGTTGGGAGGAGGGGTGGCGGGAAAGTACTGTGGTGTTGACGTGGGCACACGATCAACGATTGCCCAAGCGGTGCTTTGCGAGTGGACAAATCTACTCACGAATCTCACATCCTCTCCTGATTGGGAAGCTGGACGGCCGCATGAAGCCGAGAGACCTCTTCTGAACCAATGGAGGAAGGAAGGAATGCCAAGAGGAGGAGGAGCATCGATGTCGTTGATGATGAGGGTGTACTTCGTGTCTCTATCAGCACCGCGGGCCGGCGGAAAGTATATGGCAGGCGCAAAGAGCGTCTGAGTGAGCGGATTGACACCATCTCCCGTCTCGTAGAATCTGCCGGAAAAGGACTGGGTGATGACCGTCTTTGGATCGAACTCGGGTAGCGCTTCTGAAATGAGACCCGAATCTCTCATCTGCTTGAGCTGACGAGCACGATTCTGCGCATTGTTGGCTAGACACTGCTCGTGCTTGGCTTGCCGCACGGTGAGCTCCGAGGTGTCAAGAGGCGATGCGACAGCTGATGAACTGACTATCAGCAGTCCGGCGGTGATTGCAAGGGCGAATTGGTTGAGCTTCATGATTAGCAAGTTGGCCAGAGCGACGGCTTGGTCTACGTGGAACGTGGGAGGTGAGAGTGGGGTCTCAGGGTGTGGTCCAGGAAGACGTAGGTGTTTGATTATAAGGGTGCGAAGATGACACAACAAATTGCTGAGAGGTCTGGACCCCGCAGCTAGAAGCCTGTCCTCCGTCGCTAAGTCGCTCCATCCATCCTCAACCCGCCAGACTGAGACGTGGTCCCAGAGCTTTCGCGGTCCAACGTCCAAGAGATCGATTAGGAATTGGCCTCGCGGACAGCAGTCGAGAAACACGGAGCATTATGATGAGCGAAGAACTGCCTGAATTCGATCAAACGCTGCGCAACACCTTGGCATCGACGAGCGGACAATCCTCTACGCGGCGGTGGACCCTGCGATAGGAGCGCTGGTGAGACTGATGCTTGCGTTCACTTCTCACAGAAGCCACCACTGCGTTTCTCGTGTGGGCAGACAGCCTTGCCTAGCGTTGACCAACGTGGGGTTCCGTGGGCACATCGCGGCGTTATAGTCAGGACCCACATTTGCCTTATGGAGGCACATATGTAACTCAAGTTCTGCTCGGAGTGTGACGAGATGCTTCGAGCCCGAGGGTCAAGCTGTGGATGCCGGAGCAACCACGAGGCTTCACTCAAGAATAGCAGTATGGCTCGGCGACCGCTTCCATGTGCTCCCTCCAGTCACGACTATCAAAAGCGTGCCGATCGTCAGAATGGCGCTGCCTGACCATCATATTCTATGCGCGTTCATGACACGTAATTGCCAGGTGAGCTTCCTCGACGATCGCCAAGAAATCAATTCGCGGTGCGCATGCGGGGCAAAGTAGCGAACGGTCAACGACGGTCAGCACCCGCGTACATGAACGGAGATATGCAGCGCCAATCTTCATACTCCGTGCCTGTTGGCGTTCTAGCGTCACAGCGCAGCAGGCAGCGTGAGTAGGCATAGGTATACACGTGGTTGTCTGGGATCTGCTTGAAATTCCTTAATTGTTGATCGACTGGGCGCCCGCACCGTGCCTGTGCTCTGGGACGTTGTCATCGTCAGTAGCGGGAGCGCTCTGCGGAGATGATGTTCTCCACCGGTTCTTCCGTGACCCTCATGGAGTGTCCGTACGCTTGGCGCTGCAAAGAAGCGGGCAAAAGGGGGGATCAGCACGCAGTTGGCACGCTGCTACAGGTACTCGAATGCCGACACCGTGACCATATCGCCTCCACTCGAGACTTCCACACAGGAGCGCATACTGACGATGAAGTCCAAAGGAGGCTCCGTCTTTGGCTTCTTTTGCTCATTGCCATTGAACACGGTCCAACCGTGATCTGGATGATGACGATAGAATACGTGCTCCGAAAGGCTGACCTCATCCTTGACCTTTTCGAGGTAGTTGCGATTAGGCTCCCACTTGGCCGGCACCTTGTGCGTGTGGTGAAAGGTGGTGATGACCCGAGCGGCTGGTGCTGCAACCGCTTCGCGCAACCCTTCGCTCTCCGCTTTTGCTGCTGCTCCCGACAGAGAATGGCCAAGCGGGTGCCCAAGGACCAAGGCATTCGCGGCGAGCAGATGGGGCGCGATCGATTTCCAAGACATCTTGTTATGGTTGATATCGATCGATTGTTACGAGAGGGCCTTGGGTGACTCGGGTGACTCAACAATTTTACAGAAGAATAGAGAGCGGATGAGACAGGCCTGGATCAAGTCATTGCGCGCACCTTGGTGCCACCGCAACACACTATCCGCGAAGAATGGTGAAGCTGGGTGGCGAAGCTGCTTGCAGGGCGGTCACAGGGCCATTGTGTCCGCACAAGCGGGACATGGGCCGAGACTGCGAGTAGCAGCAACACCCAGACTCATCATATCAGGGTTGCGTTGACATCTAATTCACAATTTGAATGGTAAGGATTCTGGCAAAATCACTTCTTCCGTCGTCATCTACCTCCCTGATGCGGCTCACAACACACCGCTGAGGCGTCTTGCGGTGGCGGTGGCGGGAACGGATCCGATCTAATACAGGCTTCATGCGAGAAAGATTCCACAAGAGCAAAAGTATGCGTCACGAGCACGAGCGAGGCAACGGAAGCCTGTGGTAACGGCCACTGGCGCTGCCTTAATTCACCTTTACGATCCTGGATACGAGTTGGGGATGCCTGCGGCATGCATGCCTATCTGCCAAAAGCTTGAAGTTCTCAGCCATCAGGCACCTAGACGCGTTGGAGCAATCGGCGAACGATTGCCACAGCAGTCGCGAGTGAAATTGAAGCAGAAGTCAAAGTGCGCTCCTTGCTTTGCATTCTACAGCGTTGTAAGGTTGAAGAGTCAGAAAGCATTGTTGATTGACGACCGTGGCCGGAAGGAAGCCAGCAGCATCCATCCCATCATGCATTGGATGCGAATCCTCTTTGAAGGCATGGCCCCTAAATCGCCGGCCGCGAAGCACGGATTCAATCAGAAGCGTCTGCGTGTGAATTGAACAAATCGTGAATTTTGAATTTGATTCTTGAATAGCATGCAGAGATCGAGTCACGTGAGGGCCATCGCCACCTAGAAGTGCGCTTGCTAGTTGTGAATCACGAGTACGTGCTGTATACCTTTCTGCACACTCACGACTATGTATGCAGCAGTCAAATTGCAACCGCTTGCCATCTCTGATCTACCCCCGCACTCCAGTGCCACCAGATCATGCCACTCCACTGCGCATCTCTTCATCATACCTATCCAGGTCTGCCAATCTGACCCTTACTACTGCAGCCCATTTTGTCCTCATTCGTGCCATCGTCTGCTTGAGTCGCCATGTATAGAGGACGAGGGCGGTTCTCTGGAGAGTCCAGGGAGCCAAGCTACGGACGCGGCAGGGGCAGAGGCAGAGGGGATCATCGCTTCGAAAGGGCATCTCGAGACTACAGCAGGGGCGAGCGCGCCAGAGACGACCCTTCTGCACCGCCGAAGCTGACCGGCGCAAATATCGATGCTGCCGCCGCCGCTTCTGGCGCGGCCTCGGGTCGTCCAGTGCGTGCATGGGGTGCTGCCGCTACTCCTACCGCTGGCTCCACATCCGCCACCGAGGCACCTCACGCCACTGCCAAGTTAGATGTACACCAGCCGCAAGAGAAGGAAGGAAGCGACT